CAAGAAAAAAAATAAAAGAATTATACGATCATAGAATTTCTCATAAGGAAGTTCTTAGTTGAAAAAGCGTATGAAGTGGAGGAAGTGTTTCTCTCAAATAGTTTGAATCAGGTCGTCGAGCTAATGACGTTAAACAAAAGCGCTCGTGGGAGGCAACCCGTTCAATTTTATTTTTCGCATGTTTTATTTCATTTAATTTAATTTCCAGTTTTTGTTTTATGCTTATTTTATTTTCTTTACAGATTCGAATTCCGATCGAATATATAATGAAATAACATTGTCTTACGTCTTGAGACAAGAAGCAGGCGCACGTTAGTATAGCCCAACCCCATTTGGCGCAGATCAACAAATCCAATAGTCATATTTTTTCCAGCTTCTGGCGCTATCTCCAATTTGGGTGGCTTTCAAATTCTTTTTCAACTTGCGGCAGGGCCCACCTTATTATCTCTATATTACCTTTTTAAATCAAATATAATCACCTTCATTCTAAAACTTCTTATGGTTCCCACTTGTTAAAAAAACCCAAATGTTTTTAGTTGACCGACTACTTTTTCTATTATATTATATCCTTCCATGAACCCACCTATAACTTTCAACCTCTTTTAAACTCAAATTCTCCCTTTTTCTTTATATCCCACGTAACCTAGCCCCCATTTTTCCCTCCCCAGCCGTACAATAAGCAATACTTCTTCTTCTTTTTCTTCTTCTTTTTCTTTTTCTTTCACCAATCGGACTCCACACCAATTGTGTCACTGCCGCTGAATCGTTGCGCCACTGCATCCACACCGACCTTCTTGTTTTTCTTTAATACAAGATGGTGAGAATGTGCAACCAATCCAACCAAGGTGCCCATATGTCGCTCAATCATGATGATTATTTGAGGTTTTTTCTTATCGTTGCCCGGGCTCATCTCAACGTGGCCGCGGTCGCCACTAGATCGGGGAGTATTCATTTTCTCTCTCTTTGTTTTTAAATTTGATATACGATTTGGGAAAAAATGGATTAAGTGATGAGGAAAAATAAGCATGTCAAATTTTTTCTTGACTTGTTTGATTGTTTGAAATTGAGTTATTCTGATATTGATATGTTGGGATCGTTGGTTGCTATTCTTGAACTTCACTTTATACTCTTGCTTTCTTTTGGATTGTGACCATGTTTTGATTGAATTTAATTTTCATGATGGTGATTTGTATAGCTGGTGAATTTTGTGTTGAGTATAGTTATTTCATGCTTTTGTTGATAGAGATGCACTTGACTCAGTGCATATAAACTTTTATTGTGAGATTCGAGACTAAAGGGCATACATTTTCTTTCTTTCTCATTGTTTGATTTGAGTGTGCCGGACTAATTAGGATATTCTAGAACTTGTAATCACAATGCATATCGAGATTACATGTTGAACGTAATGTTTTAATGTGATAGGGGCACTAGGATAAATCCACTTTTCCCAAAAAGCCTACCCATTTATATATCTACTAATGAACCACATTTGAGTTTATTTCTCTTTCTTTGTTTTACACCCCATAATTAAACCCAAAGCCTTTTTTTATTTTCTCTATCTTTTCACATCCTTATCGAGACTTTAGGTATGTATCATTCTTGTCCCACGAAGAAGAAAAAAAAGAAAAAAGGAAACGAAAAAAAAATCGCAAAAAAATTATACACAGTTCATTGTTTCAAACTGTAAAAAAAGGAAAAAAAACCTTTGTTTAAGTAAAAAAGAAGAAGAAGGAAATATTGATTATTTCAATTGCCTTTCATCTATTCTTTTTCCTTGTTTTATTTTTCATTGTGCTTCCTCTTAGTTCGTGGATTGTTCCTAATTATTTTGATATCTTGTTTTGGTATTTTAAACATTTATTTTCGGTCTTTTTCCCTACCCATACCTTAGCCACGTTACAACCCAGATGAAAGACCTCTTGACTTTTGCATCTTATTCAATTTAAAGTAGTGGAGATTGGATTTAATCACAAACTTATGGTAATACTTTGACTTGTTCTGGCTTGAGCGTTTCTTTGTTCTTAAACACTTGAGCAAAATGAGTGAATCCTTTGTGAGGGCATTAAGTCTTGCATCATGAGATTAGTGAGTTGTCATAATGTATTGTTTTGATTTAACTTATTTTCTAGTTTTGCCACATGCTTTTGTTTTCTAATTTCAATTTATTGTCTTGATTTAACTTGGACCGTTTTCATTCATTTTCGATGCAGGACATTGAATTCTAGAAATTATGCTAAGAACAACAAAATCGTGAATTTTTTTTATTTTCTGGATTCGTGGTCAGATTATTGGGCATGTCGCATCTAACGAGGCGATGAGTCAGCATATTCCAGAAGGTCCAGTCAGTGCTTCTAGAAGGACGAATGAATATTACTTGTTTTTTAAATTCGAATTCAAGTTAAACTCATATTTTAAGAACTCTAGTTTAAATATTTTTAAGAATTATCTTTAGGAACTATCTTTTGTTTTTAAGAATTATCTTTTATTTGTTTTTCGGATTTTTAGAAGGCTATAAATACCCCTTGGGGTAAGCCTAATGAAATCATCCTTTCTTTAGTTTAATAAAAATCATTTTTCTTTTCTTTAATTTTCTTTCAAGCCGTGGCTAAAGCGATGACTCAATTCTAACGTGAGAATTGAAAAGCACTTGAATAACTTCGGGATGTCTCACTCTGTTTTCTGGACTTATTTTCAAATAAAACCAATTTTCAAAACCAAAAAGTCAATGTTGGTCTGGATGTTGTTATGATTAATGTGGGAGGAAGGATCAACTTATTGAAGCACATTCGACTTCTTGGGAACACACTTAGCAAATTTGTTTGCTAAGAGAAAATTGAGATCAGAACCAGTTATGGTTGAAATAACATAATCTGAGTCGACAACTTTTTGAACCTCAATGTTTTTAGATCTACAACATTGTTGTTGCTTAGATCAATCTACAAACATATATTAAAGATTGTACTTGGGTATTCGATATACAAAGCATAGTCACTAGGATTTGTCCTTGTAGACAAAGTAATCGACATGAATCCCGAAAGAAAAATCTAATTCGATGATCCGAAGGAAATTGAGTTAAAGCGAAAGTCTAAGGTTGATTTTACCATATTGAATTTTCTTTTAAACTTTCTTTTTAATTTTATTTTTAATCTTCTTTGAAATTTTTTTATTTTTCTTTATTCTATTTTATTTCTCTTCATTTATAAATCTCCACCATTACTCAAATTATACTTCATCCACTTCTTGGCTCATATTTTAAACAAAGCATGAATAAAACAGAAAGTTTCTTTAGTCTCTGTGGAATCAACCCTTCTCTTTTACTACGTTAAATTTCCTTATTTATTAATTGAGAAGAATGAATTATTTTGACACAAAAAACGACCACGTCAGTTGCAAAATTCTATAGGACAATGATGCATGTTTGTTCTGATAAAATGGAGGCAGAACTTGGGTCTTGGAGCCAAAGAACTCTTATCTAGGATCTCACCCAGTTGTTAATTCATAATCTACAAAGACCTGTTATAATTTCCTGTTAAATCAACGAACACCCAGCCTGGATATAATAATAATAGGCCCATTTGAAGAAGCCCCTAGCTGATAAGATAAAAGGGTCAGAATTTGACAGAAAAGTCGTGATATGGTGAGTCTGAGTTTCTACCCTGGTAAAATGTCTGCAATCATTTTTAAGATTCTTTGACATGCCCACTGGAACTTGTCTCTACTCTCACAATTCAAAGAACCTATAAATATACCTTGAAGTTGAATAGCATTTTTAGGCCCAACTCAGGAAACGTACGACGTATAGAGCATGCAATGCTACAAATAATTGCAGCATGACACCACGTTCCTAAGAAATGAGAAAAGATTGGGATTAGGGGAACAAGGGGATGAGATTAAGACACAAAACGTCCGCAATATGAGGAAATGATAATGCAAACACGAGTCGAAGTCATTTATTTACTACTATTTCCATGCTGTCTACAGATATTTATCAATCATCAATCAACCTTTTCACATTTAGAAGACAGGCCAATGCAAACCTGCTTCAAAACTTTGTCCTCGACACCACGAAACACAATGTTAATCATATAGACAAGTTGATCCATATCAATGTCATAATTTGGAAGAGGAGAATAGATAGTTAATGCAAATGCCACTCATGCTTTTATATGTTTTCCCCTCTGGTGTTTCACTCCTACAATCATTTCAAGCCTTCTGATAGTCTATGCTTGTCAGAGGCACATAAAATGTGCATGGCCGCTTAATTTAGTGTGTTGGAAAAATGAAACCGGCTAAACGTCCAAGCTGTGCTTTTAATTCCTTTAGAGAAAAGTAAAATGTGGCTAGTTCTGTTGTGTATAGTTTAGATGTTGAATTTAACTGATATAAACTTGAAGCCAAATTACAACTTTAGGCTCGAGCCATTTGATATATTGGCATTTAATTTTTCCTTCAAAATCGGACTGTCTACCCCCTCTAACTGCCTTTAAATTACATATGGCAGAAAAATCAGCAGTAAGTTGATTCGCAAGAGTAAAGGGGGATATATGGCAGAAAAATCAGCAGTGAGTTGATTCGCAAGAGCAAAGGGGGACTATGGTACAACCTTCGAAGCAGCTCGAAGGGAACAGAAGCCCTCTTGCATGATGACCACATACTATTTCATTAGCAACTGGACATCAAGTTACCAGATTTTGAGCAATGGTTATATTAGAAGCTCATTGTTGGATTCCTGGTGAATCAAACCCCTACACGAGGGAGTTGGTGATCAGATCTGCATAACTGATTGAAGACCACCTGTTTAGGTTCAAGATTCAAATATTAGGATAGTCTTAATGGATTATTTGATGATATTTTAGGTTTAGTTAAGGATTTACCTTGGAATCCAAGTGAATATAGTCAGATCATGGAATCGTAAGTGAAGGGAAAAACAATTACTAGTTTGAGTAAAGCTATATTTTATGCTGAGGCAATATCCCACATTGAGTAAATACATGAGTGGACCACTTACCTGGACGTGGTCGATGGAGGATCATCAAGATTCATGGTCTAGGTAAGCGACCTCCATTGCACTTGGGAGTGGAGCTTGTCTATGGTCTCCCCATAGTTGGGAGAGCCTACGTCATAATTTGTGGTAGTGGGGGCCTGTGTTCGCGTGGCCCCCGTCCAATTTGAGATACAAAGATTCTTCTAGCTGGCATCCTCTGTTCTGTTCGTTTGACATTTAAATGGACTTGAAGTTTGGACTTTCCTGTAAATTCTGATGTGTTATTTCTGTAATCCGTAATAATAGGCTGTTAAGAGTTTAAAATGGGAATACCAAATTTATTTAATCTCAAAGAAGTTTCATAATGCATTGGCACATGATTTGTTTTTTAAATCTCACAACAGAGGGGGCTGTTCAAACAACATTTTCCCTTATTCAATCAAATTCAACACTAGACTAGTAATTTCGACAACTCATCCGTATGAAAGATTGACATACCGCTCGACAATTAATTTCTCATCTCCATTATATCATCGACATCTTTGAAGCTAGGATTTGTTACATTTCAGGGCTGCTGAATCAAACCAGGCTGTTGAATGAAACCCCTACGTGAGGGAGTTAGTGATCAGATCTGCATAAATGATCGAGGAGCTGAAGTTGGCCAATTTCTTGAATTTGAACATCTTTTGAGTTATCAGGAGATGGCCCGAGAGGGTGGTTGGGGTATTCTCCCTCATGAAAATTTAAAATTATCATATGTTTTAAATTTTTTCTATGTATTTTCCATTGAAAATATGTTTTCTTCCTCTTAGCATTTGGCCATTTTATAACTACGTCTAGAAGCTCGCCTACCCTAACATAAAATCCTACGTTTGTTCCTGGCTACTTGGGCTTAAGAAGTTTCTGAAGGATGCAATGTTGACAAATGTGGTTGCTGCATATGTGACTCATTTGCAAGGCCAAGAACAGAGAAGTGTAGATCTGCAAAAATGTATATACAAAAGAGAGATGAAAAACTCTATGTACACAAAATGATGCTTATAGTAAACGCCAAAAACTTTTAGAAGGTTGAAATGCATGTAAATTTGCCGAGTTGTTTCAAATTTGCCAAAAACTTCAAAGATTTCAATTATGTTCTATCCGATATTATTAAATGAATGAATGCCGTTATTAGAACAAAGGTGCCTTCAAAGATTTCAATTATGTTCACTCACTCAGTCACTTTGAACACCATTTAATAAAATATTTTAAATGCAACCTCCCAAACGGTATAAACACCAAAAAGGTAAAATGACATCAAAGGTCCCTATATTTTAAAAATATATATTTTGGTTCTCGTATTATTTTTTCTCTCAATATGTTCCTCTAATTCAGAAAATAAATTTAATGCGGCCATTTGACAAACATTTCTGTTGTTAACCGTTACGGTGCTAATGTGGCAAGCCATTGTGGTTGATGTAATGGTAGATAGACTAAATTGGTTTTTTGATTTTGTTCGAGGGTCAAATTGTTTTTTTTTTAATTTCAAGGGCTTATTTATTTTTTTTATAAAACAAAAGTTATTTTCAAATCTTAAATATAAAAAAGTTCAAATATTTTCAAAAAATAAATATTAAAAATAAATTTTAACAGAAGCCGCTAGTATTATTAAAAAAAATAAAAATATCCAAAATTACAATAAGAGTTTACAACTATCATCATAAACTAAATATATAATTTAGATTTTTCCTATAACATTGAAACTAGCCACTTTAGACCATATAAGGACCATACATGGAAAATGTTAAGAACTCAACCAAGAGACTAAAATAGATATGAATAAATCTGATTGCATCAGCAAACAAACTAAAAAAGGGAATTAAGCTATTGAAAGGCCACCGAGAACTGCAGATCAGAGCTGAGCGTCGTGAGAAACTATCCAAATTCAATCCAAAGGTCCATAGCAGGGAAGATCAACAAGATTTCGAATAAGAGCCATCTTGATCAGTTGTGATATCATCAAATCCAACATTGAGAAAATATAAATAAAAGAACGAACAAACAATCGAGATAAAAAATCAAAAAATGTGCCATAAAAGCAGAGATAAACGTACAACACATGTATAATTATTTTTATTAAAAAACAAAGTTGGTGTCGCCGCTGGCTGAAGAAAATCAAAGAAAAAAAGTTGATATGATCTATAAAAAACGATACAAACTCAAAGAAAAAATAAGAAAAAAATGAGGACAAAGGAGGGAGATAACCTTAAAAATAAAAAAAATAAATTACTAAAAAATCGAATATACATAATAAAAATACTAAACCTATTATAAAAAATTAAATTTTTTTGAATATATATCATAGATTATAAAATGATAACTTATAAATTATTCAAAATTTTAAAAAATATTTTTAAATATATTATACATAATATATATAATATGCATATCGTCAACACTTATACAAAGTATTCTTACTAGATTAATCGTGTCACACCCTAAAATCTTGATTAATATTTTAGTCTTTATAATTCAAAAATTTTATTGGCTTAAATTTTTATTTCTGGTATTAAATAGAATAAATGTCGTTTTTGGATATACTTTCTGAAAATCTTATAAATTTTAAAGGCAGTTTTATAAGTTCTAAAACCTTTGGAGATCTTTTTCGTGATTAATCTATAAGTGAAATTGAAATTCAATTTTACTGAAACTCTGACCGGCACGTATCTTTTCCTATATATATATATATATATATATATATATATATATCACCTAAAATGGAAAACCTAATATTCTCTCACGCCCCTTTGTCTTCATAAACCTCACCATGATTTTCAATGGAAATTGCACTCTCACATTTTGTTTTTAATTCAAATCAAAGCTACATCTCTCTACTTTGACAAAAGCAATCGATCTCAAGTCCTCCATCTCTTGTGCGCCAAAGGCATAGATAGAAATGGTACGAGTATAAATTGGAATCAAGGCGAAGTGATCGTAGAATTTTAACGGTTTTGAGTGGTAATTATACGATGTGTCTTTATCGTGCTATAACTACTTTAATTCTGTTTAATTAATTTTATTGTGGAATCCAGAATTTATTAAATGTTGATTAATGTTATGCTGTTATACTATTATATATGAATTTATGTGTGTCTTTGTCTGTGTTACTATAGTTTGTGTTCTAAACTGCATAATTTATTAATTTCATACCAAATCTGTTTTTGAATTATCTGTGAGATGTTGGAACCATGTATTCCTGAATTATATGTTAGGTGTCCCAACAACACATTTATGAAAGATATGTTTCTTTCTGAACAATACAATTTTTAAACTGTGACTGTCTTAACGATATATTTTCTGAACTACGACTATTTGTATTTGTGCATACTCTTAAAACTACTTTTGTAACGCCGTGGATCTCGGGTTAGGAGATTTGGTCTAACCCAAGATGGACCTTGTAATACCCCAAATATTGGTTAGTGACTAAAAAGCAAGCTTTGAAAGTTTAGTGACCAAAGTATAAATTTGTAAAAGTTTAGGGATAAAAAATATAATTTTTAAAAGTTATATATTTTGGTCTGTAAATGAATAGTTTGTCCCGAAATAAATGTTTTCGTGGGAATCATAATTTTGATTCGGGATTTATACTAAAAACTATAAAGTAATAAAGTGAAGTAAGAAATCAGATAATCGGATCGAACCAAAATTTCACGAAAATTTGAACGATACTAGATAAAGGTTGGAAATATTATTTCCATATTTTAGAACAGTGAAATTTAATATGGATAAGTGGAAATGAAGTTAATTTTCCTTATTTAGCCGAATTTGGGAAACTTTGGTGACCAAATGAACTACAAGTTGGTTCATCTTTGACTAATGAGATATATTTCAATGGCAAAAGGTAATTATCAAGATTCATTAATGGAAAATTTGGGATTTCTCATAAAATGAATTTTAAATTAGGATAAAGCCATGTGTTTAAGTGATAATTAGGAAGGGGAAAAAAGAGAAATTTCCAGCCTTCTTCTTCCTCAAACTGTGAACTCCATGGAAGGTAAGGAAATTATTTTCAATTTCACTTTTAGGCTTATTTAATTGATTTTTGGATTAAGTTATTAGATATATAATTAATCTTCGTGAAATTCTCTATCATTTGGTATAAAAAGTTCATGGAAACATGCTTGGATGATGAATTTTATGATTTGGGTGGTTGACTAACAAGTTGGGTTTTGGTGATTTAAAGCTTGATTTTTATGTTATTGATGTTGTATATTAATTTACAAGTCTTGGTGATGAACAAAATCAAGTATAAAAGTTTATATGGGTTTTGGCTAAGTTAGAGATTATTGGGAAAATTGGTTGAATTTTGATTTAATTTGATGTTATGATGATTAGAATTGCATGAATTTGATCTTGGGAGCTTGAATTCATGCTTGAAATTGAATGAAATCCTTGCCCTATTGCTTAATGAAGATTCGACCAAAGGGGGGAAATAGAGAAAAATTATTCAAAAATTTCCTACGGTTTAAAATTAATATTGTAATGATTCTACATGCTTTGGAAATTAATTTAGATCAATTTGGAACCTTGAGATAGAAAAAGGGATAGTTTGCAAGTTCTGATAATTGAGGGACATTTATGCATAAATGTGTAAATTGGAGTATTCAATGTTGAATTTTAAGTTAAATAAATGATTTGGGATCAAAGTGTAAATTTGGTGATGGAATTCGAATAGTCTCAAAAGTTGAGACTTAATTATGAATTTTCAAATGTGATGGTATTATTTTAGCATGAAATTTTAATGATGGAAATTTTAGTAATTTATGTGAAATGATCATAATGGTAAAAAATCATTATGAATTAAATGGAAATGTTGATATGAATTCAAAAAAGGAATTCATAATTAGTGGTTTAATTGTGAAATTTGCAAAAGTTGAAGGGAAGATGATGAAAATAAATATTTATGGAATCAAATGAAGATTTTTGGAAGTTGAAATTACTATGGATTTATGATTTAGTTTTGTATCGATTAAGTATCAATTTTATTTCTATAGACTTTTATATTTTTAAGTTTAGATTATGTCAATACGATACTAACATATAGTTTGAGTATTTTATGTTATTAAATGACGTTGTCAGACCACGATAAGTCTAGTGATCCAAGTGACTCGAAATGGGAAGGAAAAAGTGTGAGATTGAG